ATTGGTAATTAATATCGCGTATTTCAAGATTGTAGAAAAATCGCAAAAATAAATCCTCATGATTTTTAAGCACGAGAAATTTTATACCCACATAGAAAATTCAAAAAGAGAGTTAACTTGTAGTAGCAACAATTGACATATAAAGGATATGTATGGACAAACACAAATTGCTGACTGGTGTTACTGGTATTTAGCTCCTTTTTGTATCTTCACTTTTGAAATAACTTTAGTTTGCAAAGATTTCACACATTATTTGTTGCAGTTTATCGAAAAGTTTTTAAAGGTTCAGCCTTTTGAAAAAATAAAATGAAGTTGAGAATGGTTAAATCGTGAATTTTATTGTCCTTTTTTCACATTTGCCTGTTAAAATCTTGAAAATAAAATTCTGCAAAATACTCTCTCGTCAAAATTGCGAAATTAACTACCCGAGAAATTCAGTTCCAATAAGGTGGTTTTTGCGTACCTCTGCCCCTGAGTTGTCGGCACTGCAGCTGATTTCAGCTGGCGGCGATGTACATTCCCTTTTTTCCACAAAGTGGTTTGGGGTTTTCGTATCTTGCAGTGTTGTACTTAGTTTCTTTCAAGGTTTGTTTTTTGCCAGAGGGTGTTTTGTAAGTAAGTGTGGTCTTGTAATCTAATGGTAATTTTGTAACAAACTAGTAGCTTTGAGGTTTTCGCTGACTACAGGCGCCTGTATTTATTCTTGTGTAGGTGTCTATCTGGGTATTGTAGGCAAAATAGGTTCATTTAAGACCTCATTTACTGACCCAGTATTCATCAAGAGATATCTTTTTGAAAAGTGTGGGTACCACAAATGTAAACCGCTCATTTCAAATTTTAACACTCACCCTATCCCATTCCCCACCCACCAACACGTCACTGGGAGTTTGAATATGAACGAGCGCCCATAGCCATAGAGAAAGGGGGTGAATACAAGATTACCTTATTTTCACCAGCCATCATGCAAGTGCAGTGATTTCAGGCTGAATTTGTTGAATTTGCAGGTGTGCAACTATAGGTGCGAGTGTAGTCGGTGTAGAATTACAGTTCGACTTACACATCGTTCTTGGTTTACCTGATCATCCTCATGAAGAAACGTTGCGGGAAGTTCACGGCGAATGATTCCTATACCTGCCAACTTTTTCTGAGTTATAAGCGTGAGATTTTTATCCTGGGAGTGCTGGGATTTTTGCAGACGACACGATCATTTCCGAAGATTCCCGAAGAAGTCCGAATTTTCCCGAAGACGTCCGAAGTCTGCCGAAGGCGAAGTTATCGAGAAAACGCTTATCCACAAAATCAGAGATCGCGAGGAAGGTATTGTCATTTATTCATTTTACACATGGTTTTCGTTCCTTACATGGGTCTGAGTTAACATATTTTTGAAAATTGTGTCAAGCAAGACGGTAACAACTCAGATTTTTCAATCAGGCGTGAGAAATTGGCCCGCAGGCGTGAGCGGGCGTGAGATCGAAGTTTTCAACCCGCAGGCGTGAGACTCACGCCTAAGGCGTGAGAGTTGGCAGGTATAGATTCGTGAAAACACCGAGTTCCCTTTGGACGCCATATTGAAGGAAGAAAGCGACCATTCCCCAGTCCTACGCGGATTTGGCAGATTTTCGGCGTTCTGTGCGCGAGTGTGGTGGTAGCAGACGCCCCTTTCCGGGGAGAGAGAAGTCTCTGTGGGCGCTTTCCATTTAGTCAAAATTTCCGGAATTTCTGGTTCGGCGGTAAATGGAACACGTTTCGTCGGCTCGTCCCACTGGAAAATTCCCAGAAAAAGTGGAAAATCTAAAAAGGTAAGCCCGTTTTCCCGGTTGGAATTTCCGAACGGAATGTCGTGTTCCATTTACGTTTCTCGTAGTTTGTACCAGTTCCAGGTCCACGGTCGGGCACCGCGACGTACCGGGGTTTAAGACCAAATGGAACAACATTTTACCAATCGGAAATTCCATTTTTGCTCCCTCCGAAATTTCCGGGTTTTTTTCCTAAATGGAAAGCGCCCTGTGAATCGTTAACCGTGTTCCCGTATCCCGTTTCCCCTAGCCTTCCACGCAGGCGTTTTTAGGGGAGCTCCCCTAAAATCGCCTTCGTGGCGTTTCCCAAGAAGGTAGGGGAAAGCCTCTGATTGCTTGTAATGTTAATGCCATGATGCAAGTGATTTCCGGTATTGTGATTGGTGAATGAATGTCAGAATAGATTCCCCGGCAAAAATCTAGCCTCCCACGCAGGCGTTTTTAGGGAAGCTTGTTTTTCATCCCTCAAGTCTTCGTGGGAAGCTAGGAAAAACCTAGCCTGTGTGCTACGTTTACTTGTATTTCGGCTTTCTGGAAATAGGCATGTGAAGTGGGACCACCGATCAGTTTTTTATTGCTGTACCGGTTGCGGGTGCATCTGTTCTCTGCCGGTGGCCTATTGTAAACAAAAGAGAAGGACGTACAGAAATCACCACTAAATTAGAGATCTTATATTTGGATGTCAGCGTGGAAATTGCGAACATTTTTGCGGCTAGCCTGCGTACAGACATCAGGGGGCATCTGTACACCGGCTTCATGTGCTAGTCTTGAGTAGTAAAATTAAACAAAAGTGTGGTGGTCTGTCAACACCTTTTCAACGGTCACAGGAAAAACAAACAAAAATAATTTATGCAATTGTATACCGGGACACGATTAACGACAGCGATTCACAGATGGCCTGTGTAAAGACGCCTCCTCCCCTCGAAAAAAGAACGGGGGCGTCTTTGCACAGGCTAAGAATGATCTTGGAAAGTGTTGCTTATCGCGCATTGTATACTAAATTAAGTTTGGGTGACCTGTGCTCAAGGTTGCAAAATGAAGTTTCAAAATTAGATTAAAGAACTGCCAGTATTTTTGTTATCGTTTCGGGGAAACCTTGATCCACTAACTCTAGGCTAGTGTGTAGATTCCTTCCTTTCCAGCAGACTCTAGCTTAGGACTTTTAGACTGCAGGGTATTGAGCTTGGATGAAAATGTGCGCGTGAGTCACGCGCTGCTTCTCATGACATTTTAAAAATTTCCCTTCTTTTTTGTGTCGAAACGGCGTCTCATCTACTCTATGGCCAAGAAACCGCAACCGCTCAGTTGCAATGCCATTCTTGTTTTCCTGATCGCTTAAGGAATCTGGGAAATGAAAGAAGGTAAATATGCAAAGACCCTCGCCAAGATTCAGATCAGAAGAATATTTCGTATACGAGATAGCCGAAGAAATGTTTAACCCAAATTTATAGAGATTTGTATGGAGACGCCATGCTGGTGCTCATTCGGATGGGCTCCAACATGGCGGACGGAAACCAACAGAAACATCTGTTACCAAGTTTTGCTATAAAAGCCAGAATTCATTCTTCGAGGAACTCATAAACTTTAAAGTAATACTTTTTCTAATACGTGAACTGTTTAGATAGCAAAATCCCTGAAATGAGTTTTTTTTACCCTACGTGACAGCTCTCTTGACCGTCATGTAAATGCCGCGTCACGCAAAAGCTTAGAAATTCAATCGTACTCTATCACAAAACCAAGAACCCTTTTGAAGCGAAAATTTGTTTGAAAATTAGTTTTCAGTAGCTCTAATACATGGTCAAAGTAAAATCTCGGTAGTATCGATAGTTTTGTAGTTTGAATTTTAGTGACGTCATGTGAAAACCAACAATAGTTTCAAAAGATTAGAAAAAGGAAAAGGTATTAAGCAGAAATTCTAGAACATTTTCTGACTGCCGGGCATTTAGTCTTTTAAGACCCTTCCCCCACGCGGAGGGGTACTTCCTTATAAGAGGCTAATGGGGATGTGCCGCTGGATGGGGTCGCATTTTCACGACTGGATTGACTATACATTTTCGGATTTTTTCGGGTAAGACAGTTCTTCACATTTACGGTTAGCAAACGTATGTTTGTACTGTAGATGAAAAGTAAAGTGTTCTTCATTCAATCCATAAAATGGGTCAATACATAAAAATAAAAAGTGACTAAGTTGGGACCGCGAAAATTACATATTTGCCCAAAAGTGACTAAGATGTAGCCTGCGAACGGCAGACGTTTCTCCTCGCTCATCGCCGCTGAGGGACGTTTCGCGAGGAGGAACGTCTGCGACTCAGCGACAGAAATTCCATACTGATGACGTTAATCAATGTTTACATAATAAATCCGGTAGTCACGGGGTTCCAAATGCAAATTTGTTCAATTTTACGTATCTCCTGGTTGATTTTGGTAAGGTGTTGTGTTCGGCGATGAGCGAGGAGAAACTTCTGCCATTCGCAGGCTAACTAAGATGGGGTCTATAAACGGCCACAAAATAGACTATAATGGGGTAGGGGCTCTAAGAGGCCAGCAGCACATACCTGGCAAAAATTAACTCAAGTAATCCCCCGGGAACTTCCCGGCTGCAGGGCATACAGCCAAAGCGTTTAATAACACTGCTTTTCAGTGATTGGGTTAGGCACTGAACTGTGACGGTTAGATTGAGTTAGATCGGTAGTTTTATAATGAGAAAAAGGCAGAAATTAGAAATTCGCAGCTAGGACTTCCTACCCATCAAGCGAGCTCCCCTACCTCCCCTGAAACAACAAATTTGTTCCACACTTCAGTAGCACTTACCTTTTTTACGAAAGGAATCTAGCGAGACACGGTGATGAGTGTATATAATTGGTGGGAAACACGCGTATCACGAATGACAGTTTAAAGCCATTGACTGTTCATTCAAACAGAATATTATAATTGCAGTTTATGACTATGATTCGTATATGAAGACCTGTGCTGAAATGAAATAACATGAACCATTTTGCCAAAATAAATAGACTGAATCATCTGATCTGACATACTGATTCTTACTGTGCGAATGAATTTTTAGAGTCTGCTTTTACGAGGTTATGACCTCAAAAAACTGTCTGTTTGTTGTGAATTATTTTGATTAGCCGAGTGTATTCAGTATCTTTCAAGCGAAACGTAGTAAATTCCATCTAGAGCAGGTTCGCTGAAGTTTAATGTTAAATGGTTGATAAGCTATCCGTGAGTGATATTGTAACGAAAGTTTATCAAGCTGCTCGTGATGGTTCTTCTAATCTGACTGATCTTTTAAAGCGGCTGAAAACAGAACAAAGAAAAACCGCTTTGGAAACAAAAACTAAAGGTGGTAGCCATTTTGTCACTCCTCTAATCATCGCTGCTCACAATGGACACCTGAATTCTGTGAAGATTCTTTTGGGACATGGAGCAGACATTGAGGCTCGAGGAACGCTTAAGATAGAGGACCAAGTTGTAGAGGGATGTACACCTTTATGGGCCGCTGCTAATTCTGGCCATCTTGATGTTATGAAACTGTTAATCGAACAAAATGCAGAGGTTGACGGCAGAACTTCGAGGGGTGGGACTCCGTTGAGGGGTGCTACTTACTATGGACACCTTGACATTGTGAGATGTTTGTTTGAGAGCGGAGCAGATGTGAATGCACGAATGAACGAAGGGCACACCCCTCTAATGTTAGCGTGCTCCTTTGGCCACTTAAGTGTTGTTACCTATCTTATTAACAAAGGCGCCTTTATGGATCTACAATTCAAAGATGGCAGAACTGCACTTCACAGCGCTGTTAAATCGGGTCACTTTGAGATTGTCAGTCAACTTTTGGCTCTAGGAGCATTACAACTGCCAAATAATCAAGGTTTAACACCTCTTCTTTATGCCGGTGATAAAGGTTCCATTGAAATGGTGGAGCATATTATCAACAGACCGGAATGTACAAAGCAACAGAGAATTGATGCTTTTGAACTTCTTGGTGCCACCCTTGCTAATAAACGTTGCCGTAACGCCGGTGACACTAAGAAAGCTTTTAGTTATATGAAACGTGGAATGGAAGAGAGGTATGAAGACCTGGCGCATCCAGTGCTTAAAAAGAAAATGGAACCTGTGGAAGCTTACCAAAATAGAAAAGAGAGTCAAACTCTTGAGGAACTTGCTCTGCTAGAAGGTGATGCTCAGGCTATCGGCATGGAAGGACTAATCATCAAAGAGAGAATTCTTGGGTCTGACAATCCAGCAATTCGTCGCTCTATCAGATACCGGGGAGCTATTTTAGCTGACTCTAAGCAGTACGAGCTTTGTTTTGGTTTGTGGAAACGAGCGATGGAGAAAGCCACGAACAACGACGTTTCAATAATAAGAGATCTTGGATTCTACACATCTGTATTTGGAAAAATGGTACAAAAAAGAATACTCTTAAGACCAAACTTCATTGAAGACGCATTTGAAATACTAGTTGCTGTAAGTGAGAAACGGACAGAAAAATTACAAGAGGGGCATGGAAACGAGGAGCTAAAAGACATGCTTTATTATGCTCTCTATCTTTTGATGATATACACTAAAGTTAAAGCTCAAAATGCCAACATGACCGATTTTCTTCAAAGATTCCTGCGTTTAAACCTTAGTTGCAGTGATGGAAATACTCTACTGCACTTGGCTGCGTGGCACGAAACTCCAGTTAAAGAAGACATTGTGCGAGGAGTGTGCAAGCTTCCCTGTATTGAGACCATGAAGCTTATTTTACATTTAGGGGGGAATGTAAATGCCGTTAACACCGAGGGTAACACACCTCTTCATCTAGCTGTGAAGTTTAAGCCAGAGCCGGAGGAAGTCGAGATTTTGAGAGAAATGCTGCTGTTGTTGTTAGATATCGGTGCAGATCCAAAGCTAGAAAACGAAAATGGTCAAACACCCCTGGACAGCTGTGAAACTCAGACAGCTCGTATGATCCTGTCCGAGAAAGGAAGACTGAGTGGCGTAAACGTCGACGTCGGAGATGTAAGAAAGTTTTAAATGTTAACATATTATAATTTTGTAAAATCTTTTCTGTCACCTCTGTCACAAAATGAGGGAGTACTTACTTCCGTGTCCCATGTAGCCTGTGAACAGGCTGTCTGTCTCCTCGCGATTTTTTCACCCTCTCCCCAAACAGAGAGCCTGCTCTAAGGCTATGTCCCATGTTGTTTCTATTTCAAATACGTCACGCTTGTCTGCCCATCTCTATCTGAACGTCTGGAACGGGCTAAATTTCCAAAATCGTCTCTTTTCGAATGAAACGATCTTACAATGCCGTGATAGGCACATTTGATAGTGGCATGTACAGAAGGCTCGTAGATTAAGTTTTATAATATAGCAAGCGGACGCACGTGTATGTTTTAAAGCGGCCCAATTGTTACTCCGGCCAATTTACTGACTGAGAACTGTTATGAACCGTTCGATTGACGTTTGTGGAAAAGAACATTGAATTCAAAGTTTTCCAAATAAGAGGTCCAAAGAACAAATTAAACTGAAAAGCGTCAGGGTAATACTAACACATTTTTGTAAATCTCTTTTGCCTGCAGAGGGAAAGGGAGTTATACCAATTTCCTGTTTCATTTTTCCTCTCGCCCCGTCTCTGCCATTTTTTTTTTGCCCCCTTTCACTAAACAGGCTACATAAGTGCCGTTTTCGCGACGGATTTATGACAGTTTAAATAGTTTAGGATGTAGTACGTTTATTGTACTAAATTACTTTGGTATATATCATCTGAGGAGGCATGTATTTCTCTGTTCTCAAAGGCTGGAAAAATCGAAAGTGGAAATGATAGAAGGAGAGAAGGAGGAGGATTTGTTCGTCGAACAGAAAAAGATCTTAATGAAAACACTCAAAAGGAGACTGAAACAAAGGAAATATCAGGTATATAAGAGAATCTAACTAAGGGAACAATTGGTTAAAACGAATAATACTACTACATGAGAAATTTCTGTAATTTGATTGGCTTAGAGCAGTGGTATTTCTGCTTAATTTGAAATACCAATTAATTTGAAAATTACAAACCTTTTGCGGGTAGTAGTATAAACAAATACTAGCATGATTTGCACTTGATATTTGGCATAAATACCACTCGTGATATTTCAAAATTGTAAATTACGTGTAACAATTTCGAAATATCACTCGTGGTATTTATGCCAAATATCACTACAAATCATGCTATTACCTATACTAATTGTACCCAGGACCATTGAATTCCACTGATGAGCCGTTAGGCGCCATTTTAGGAAAGAGAGACTGGGGCCAATGTCCCCATATGACGGATCCCGCATCGTTCAAGGCGGTAGAAGATATTTGGACTTTTCTCATAGTGATGGACATAATACATGTATGATCAACAAAAAGTAAATGAATGTAATGTTTTTTTGTAAATAAAAGCAAAATAAGGCCAGCCCATGAGTGTAACCAAGAGAACAGCAGGAGTGGAGACAGAATATCCCATAGGGAAGTAAAATATATTTCAAGCAACATACCTGGTACATTTTATTATGATGAGATCAAATACCTTGGGTCTGAAATTAAAATAATTAAATTTAAATTGAGAGGAGTGAGGCACCTATAGAAGATTCAGTCTCTATAAGTTTGAACCTCTCTAGATGTTACACTAAGGTCACTGAGCGTGAGACCAAAGAAAATTGTCTCTTTTTTATGCTGTGAGACAAAAAAGCAGAAAATGGCGTCCTTCTATCTTTATTTCTTTAAGGACAATTGAGGGAGTTGAGACAGCAGTTACAAAGTGTCCAAGAGCAACTAAGACAGAGAGACGGACAACTGAGGAAAGCGACACAACAGCTGACAAATGTTCAACGGCAGCTAAAAGAGAGAAATGAACAGCTAAGAGAGAGGACATTGCAGTTGACAAACGTTGAAAGACAACTCCCCGACAAAGATGGACAATTGAGAGAAATGACACAACAGCTGTCAAATGTTCAAAGGCAACAGAGCAAGAGAGAACGACGACTGAGAGAGTTGACACAGCAGTTGACAAATTTGCAAGGGCAACTTCAAGAAAAAGTTGAAGAAAATACCTCCTTAGAGGAACAACTGAGGGCAAAAGAACAAGAAGTGAATGAACTGGACATATCTCTTGCAACAGCTCAACAAGCGTTAACTCAACGTCCACGCCAACAGTCACCTGACTGGGTCATTTCCCGAGATCAAATTCAGCTGACAGAGAAATGCATTGGTAAAGGAGGCTGGGGAAGTGTTGTCGAAGGCAAGTATTGTGGCTGCGCTGTTGCCGTGAAACAGATTTACGAGGTGCTTCTGAACCTTTCCTCTCATAACAGAGAAATGTTTGAGCGGGAAATGAGCATTGCTTCAAAATGCCGCCATCCTTGTTTGCTGCAGTTCATCGGAGCAACAAACGATGAAGGAAGTCCTTTGTTCGTGACAGAGCTCATGGAAACGAGTTTGCGAAAATTACTGGAGCAGCGATCTCTTTCTACAGCTGAAGCGGCCGTTATTTCTCTGGATGTGGCTCGTGCATTGAATTACCTGCACCAAAAGAAACCACGCCCCATCATCCACCGCGATATCAGCAGCGCCAATGTGTTGCTATGGCGACAAGCGGACCAATGGCGAGGCAAAGTGTCGGATTATGGTGCTGCTAATTTCATGCAGCAAACATTGTCAGTTTGTCCAGGTGCTGCAGTATACAGTGCTCCTGAAGCACTTACTAAAAATCAGACTGTGAAGGTATGTCGTCTGCTAAACTTAATCTCCAAACAAAGAGCCTGTTCACAGGCTAATTTAGAATATTAAATCCTTGCGATATACCCAAGGAGAAAAACCCAAGGGCTAAGAGATGCATTTTATGGCTGTGAAAAAGTAGAGAAAACGTTCTGGTTTTGTGATTTGGGGATACTTATTTCTGTCAAAAAGTTATATAAAATAGTAAGGGGTTGGACCTCTGTGGGATTAGCCCTTAATTTTCTTCCTTAGTAACCACGTTCGACATATAATCGTCCTGATGTATTGTGTGATACGTTAGTGACCTTAGGCCTTGATCGTCTTATCATCTAGAATCATTAAATAATACATCCTTGAATATTGTACTTGGCCTCCACTCTTCGTTTCCGGCCTCCGATAATCGCACAACCTCTGGGTGGAGTCCCCCGTACTAAACTTTGTTGAGTAATCTCTTCCCCCTACCCGGTAGATAGTCTAGACCAAAAGACCGAAGATGTGAGTATTTAGGTAAACAGTGAAAGATTTTAGTGGTCGATTTTCGTCTTCCAGCGCGCGCTGAGTGGAATAAAGAATGGTATATAAAAGAATCATTTGTGGTTTTACAATAATCTTAGTCCTCTTTGGGAATAAGACCTATGCCCTAGGATTACTAACTTTGAAAATTTTTTGTGTGTACAAAGGAGTCAAATCATACATAAGGCGATGAGTATTGATGTGGAACTATAGTGTTGTTATTTAAATGTTCATATATTTTTAACTTTTATCGTATCTTTTTCGTCTTCAGGTTGATGTGTACAGTTTTGGTGTTCTCATCTGCGAGATGTGCATCAGGAAACTACCAAATCCTGACAGGCGTGCCGAGCAAGTCGCCATGGTGAAAAAGAAAGTGGTAAGAGCCCTCATTCGTAGATGTTTACAAGACGATCCTCAAGACAGGCCTAGTATGGAAGACGTCATTGGTGAACTACAAAAGCTAGTCTAAGAAGGGCTTGATAAAATCTGTTCTATATGTTTCACCTATCAATGTATCACCTATCAATGTAAACCCCGTGGGGAGTGCGGGCAAAGGGTGGGGATTTGACAAATTTTCAAATTTTTTGATCAAATTCCCCAGGGTGGGAAACGAAAGGTCAATCAAAAGTGTCAAAAAAGCCCCCACCCCAGGGGAAAGCTCCGTTAAATTACTCGCTGTAATTAAGTATTTTCTCTCTCCACTAGCATCTCTTATTTTGAACAACAAAATCACTCTAGGAAGATTGACCGTGCTATTATAATATTAATGAAACGTAAAATGCTTTATAACATCTGCTCAAAATGTCGGAACAGGTCGGATCAATGACCCGTAAAAAATCCTCTGACTTTCATGGTGGGATTCGATTTCAATCGAGTTTTACAATCAGATGGGAACTTGCAGATAAAAACTTTCTCAAAATAGACATTATCTGTTTAGATCATTAGATGACAGCTTAAAGTATCGGATTATGGCGATTAAAACAAATGAAAACTTCACACCTTTCTCCAACAGGGTGACTTTCAGAAAGCCTCGAGGGACAGACTTGGTAACCGCTTCTGAATTGATACCAGGCTTCTATCGGTCAAAGTCAAATGTTCCGACCCCGGGGTCGCTTCGCACGATCAAAAGCCCGACAGGGGGATAGTCTCAGGCATCAAATCCCCGTCCCTTGCCCGCACTCTCCCCACGGGATTTACATTGATAGGTGCATAACAGTAATACAGAGGGAGTGAATTTCTGAAGAGATAGGAAGATGCCCCCACTACCACACCCCAGTCATGACACATACAAGCGACAAGGAACGTGACTAGCGTGGGATACAAGAATCGAGATATATCCTGCGTTGTCATTCTAACGCTACAGGTAGTATATTCGGTGAAAAAAACTCCGTTTTATCTTTCGCGTCATTTTTTTGTAGTAAATTCAGCAAGTCAGATTTGAAGAGTACGCTCATGCGTTTCTGGTATATATGTTGTGGTTCATTTTTTTTCTTTGGCTTAATTTTTATTTTCCTTTGTTCCAAACCCATTATCATACATTACCATGCCTAAAAATAAAGGGAAAATAAAAATTGAACCAAGGATGAAATAACCACAACATATACGTTGCTGTTCTATAAACGCGCTAAAAGACAGTGTGGTCATGAATGTGGTGAACGCGTTAGACTCGCAATCCGGAGGTCGCATGTTTCAATCCGCATCCGGGGATCCCGAGTCCCGCCATAACCATTAGATAGATCGGTTTAACGGTTCTCCTCAGTTGAACTCCTCGATCCCGCTTGTAAATAACTAACTGTTTTGCCTCCTGCTAAGTTGGGTCTTAAATCGTGCTACGTTTGAATTAAATCATTTGTTTCTGGTTGTTTGAGTGGGGTGCCTGTGAAGTAGCTGGATAGCTAAGTGCACTTCCTCTATATATAGAACATTTACATTTAACCATTTTTCTTCAATCAGTATAGGTTTGTGGCTGCAGGTAATGTTAGAAAATTAGAAGTAAAAACTGTCAAGGCCTTTGGCAGTCTAAGGATTGAACTTCCATTGAACTGCCACTGATTTTCATTATCTGATCAAGTGCATGAGGCACGATTCTTTTGGTCAGCGCCATATGCCTGGCGCTGACCAAAGGGGTCCCGGCTTTTCGGTATAAGAATGGAGCAAGCGATAAAAGGCCGAAAAAAAAAAAAAGGTAAATTTGTTTAATTCAGTTAGGCAGTTGCCCAACCTTAGTCGTAGTATATACCGAGGATGACTTGATTTACATACGAAAAAGCTTAACCTTTTTTACCCCGAACTGTAGGTTAGATATAAGCTACAGGCTCTGCGATAGCTCAGTTTTAAAAGTATATATATAGGTCTTTGAAATATGTGAAATAAACGCGCGTAATCTTTATTTTTCTTAGTATTATCCTGTTACTCTTATAGATACTCTGTCAGGAAAATATTGGAGAAATTCGGACATGAGTGAACTTTGTATGCGCAGGACCGAAGGACCATTAGAAATAACTGGAGGACCGACAATTCTCCGTAAAAACATGATTGTGACTTAAAAAGATCAATAAATCCAGAAAAAAATCCTGCAGATATATAAGACATTAAGACATAAGTTAGAGCAAGAAAAGCAAAAAAAAAAAAAAAGATTTACAGAATGCAGGGTAAACTCAGCCTTCTATCCATATACGTTGAACGCCAATAAAACCGGTGCCAATAAAATGTCAAAGTAGGCCAAGTAATCTTTAGATTAGTTCTTTGAATGTATAACTTCATCAATGGGCAATGCCGATTTAGCTCTGGTAAATATTTAGACTGATTCAAAAAAAGGTAGAGATAATTTTACTAATCATTTCTTTTTGCTTTGGGAAATATTGGTATGTTCGTTTTCAGATTAAGCTTGTATAGGTGGATCCAGAAAGTTTTCATAAGGGAAGTCCAATCTTTTCCTAAGGTTAAAACGGGAAATTATCAGTTCACACTTCCCGCATTTCACTTGCGCGAGTTTTACTGAATAGTGTATTCGAGTTTGTAATTTCAGTTAAAAGCCAAGTGAGTTTCAATTTCTAAGAAACAATCCAAGGGGTGAATTTAAAATTAGTAAAACAATGCAATAAAAGTTTTTTAAAGTAACCGATGTAGAAGTCTTCCTTTAAGCTTTAGATCCACACAATGGAAGCTCTATGAAATCGTTTGGAGTCACGTGATTCATAATTTTATTGGACAAATCAACAGTACTAAAGGACGGTTTGATAGGACGTCCATTAAACGGGACGAACTTTCTTTTTGAATTCACCGTCCCCATTTTTCGTCTCTCTGTATTCGAAAACCTTTCTAAACTCTGCTCCGCGCCTTGGCTCTGTTCAGGAACCAGAAGAAACTCATTTAGAGTTGGCGTCTTTTAATTCCGCACTTCCTGGTGATTTCCCTTTTACATGTTTCAACTGGTACCGAAACGGTCCTTCGAAAGTGCATCAAGACAATCATAAGCTCTGGAAATTACGAAAAAGATGGGGATTGCTTTGCCCGAATGCGAGAGAGGAAACTGATTTGATTAGCCTGCATTCAACTGCTCTTTTTACCATTTTTATGCAATTTAATTAAAAAAAGCGACTTTATAAAAACAAAATTAGCTCTAAAAAATTGTGAAAAAACTTTTCTTAAAAACATATTTTAAGAAATTTTTAAATGCGTTAAAAAATACGACGGCGTTTCGACGTTTCGAACGTTATTGCTACGAAGTACTTCTGCTATACAAACTCACATTAATACTACAGAGATAAACTACTGTTTGCTAAAAAATAGAGCTAGACAAATAACTAAATGCTTGAGAAATGATAAACATGCGTTAGCCTTCGAGCCAACTCTCCATTTGGGGGAGTCACGAGAAGTCACGCGAGAGCCGCACGCGAAAGGAGACGCGGGTCCAAAGGGCTGGGGAAACAAAAGACCTCCGCCCTTCTCGCGGCGTCGCCGCACGCTCGCGCGTTCTCTAGCCATAATCGCCATAATTGGAGTGCTCGCTGTCATAATCAGAAGCATGTTTAGCCCGTTACCCGTTAACGCTAACCAAACTAAAAAGCAACCTACCGAAAGGAAAGAGGCAGCATGCTAGCATGAAAACAAGCTAACAAGAGTCAAAGTATTTCTTACCTTACAAGTACAAGAACCCACTGAGCATTGACAGAAGTTTGACGGAACAGGCTAAGCGCGACCAACTTGCAAAACGTAGACTAACGGGGGCAGCCGAAGCATCGTGTAAATATTGAGCATCTGAGGGACCACACTAAAGCCTTTAATCCATGAGAGAAGAGCGCAGCAAAGAAGGCGAGAGCCAGAGGCACGGAGAGAAGTGTATACGAAACACCGAAAAGACTGAGCACGCTACTGGGAAGAGAAACTGGCCTTTCACCCACATTGCACGTACAGACACGTATGAGATACTCACGGGCCATACGTGAGAGAACCATGATTTCCAATATTTTAAACAACAAAGTCTGTTAGCGGCTAGCTTGGGTCGCAGACAATGTACAGACTATACAAATGGTTTAGACCTATGGTTTGGACGATGAATGGGCCGGTTGCAGTGGCACCGGGTAGTAAACGGCATGCAATAAAAAGAGCCTGAGCAGAAACTTTAATAATTTGTTATCATATTTTCACCTTTCACAACTGCCAATTGAGTGATCTCAAACGTTGAACAGAGAACAGGTATATCGGAAACCGCATAATCATTATTCCACGTGTGAAGCAGGCATCGACTTCGCACGTGCACCATGCTTTTTGAAAAAAAAAAAAAAAAAGAACAAAGGCGTGATTCACGCAAAGTTGATGTTTGCTAATTAAAAGTACCATTGGTAATTGTTGTTCCTGTTGTCGCTGCCGTGGTGGTCAATACAACAACAACAATAACTGTTATTGATCCTTTATACTTAGTATTAAGCTTCCTTTCTTAAAAAAAAAAAAACTGGAGAACGTTGGACTTTTTCGTTTCAAAATTACAAAATGGCAGCCACCAGCTGTTATATACATATATATTTTTTCGTTATTTCACGCTTGGAAATTTTTGTGCCAATTTTGGCCAAGTTTTGTGTCCCCAGTTTCCAGTCCCTAATTAGCAGTTCTATAGCGCGGTCATTTGGCAGCCATTTTCGCTCAAGAGTCCTGGTCAGAATTTGGCCATTTGCGGAGGAATGGGTACTAGGGGAGTTTTTCCCACTCAAAAACAAATTTCTACAGGCTTTAAGCTTTCTGTTGATATGCGATTTGCATGCGTTTACATCTTTCTTGGGCAAAATTTTCCCTTGTACTTTTACTCTCTCTTTCACGCAGACTGAGTTCTCAGTCCTTCAAGAAAAATTGAGTATTTTTGTCGAAAATTTTCTCGCTGGGAAACGTATTATTGCCAGGTATGTTATCGTAAACAGAAGACCTGAAACCCCGGGGGTACTCCCATACATTACATATACGGGTATGTGCCGC